TGAATTTTTAAATAATTTAAATTTTTGCAAAGATTTTTGCAAGGATTTTGTGAGGATTTTGTTATATTAAAATTTTATATATAAAAAAATTAATTTAAATTAATTTTATAACAATATAAATTTTACAATAGTTTTAGATTAACATATATAAAAAAACTTTTTTACTAATATAAATTTTACAATAGTTTTAGACTATCAAATATTAAATATAAAAAATAATAATATAAATTTTATAATAGTTTTAGATTAACATATATAAAAACTTTATTTTTTATATAATTATTGTAAAATTAAAGTAGCCTGTATATTTTCTATTTAGGAAATAATTGGTAGAACCAATAAAATTTGAAGCCAAGCTATTAACAAAACTTTAAAAAAAATTACTGCATATTGTGCATATCAAAAGTAATTTAAAATAATGAAAATTTATTGTTGTTGAAGCAAATTTTTCAAACAAAATTCTTTTTTATTTAAAAATTCTCAACACATTTACAAAATTTATATACATATAATAACTTTTTAAATACAAAATGTATTCATTATTAAATCTAGTTTTTACTTTGTTTGTTATTATTAGTTTACTTATTGTTGACTTTATAACAGAAGATTATACTATTGATATTTATTTTAATATTAATTTGATTAAAAACACAATTAAAAATATATTTTTTAATCAATATACTTTGATATTTACCAAGTTAATTTTAATTATTTATCAATATTTATTATTTGAAAGATTTTTAATTCAAATTCAAATAGATACTTTAGTCTATTAAAAAAAGAATTTGCTTCAAAATTCTTTATTTTTACCAATTAAAATTCAATTTTTATTTCTTTTTTTAGGTAAATTTAATTTAAGCATGAACAAATATTTAAAGATAAATAGAATATTTCATTTAATTCATTTCAATTTTATTACTTAAAATGAATTTTATCAAGAAACTTTTCAACAAATTTTTCAAAAAACAACAAAAAGAAGTTAGAGATACTTGGAATTGTGGTGATGAAAAATTATTTCAAGAAAATCAATCATCATTGTCAATCAACAAATAAGAAGAAATTTCTTTCCTTTACTTGTTAATCAAAAATGAAAACCAATATGAAGTTGAAGTTTTTAAAGCAATATATAAAAATGAATATATTGTTTTTACACAATATGAAGACTTTAACATCAGCAAATTTTAAAACTACAATATTGTGCAAGAATTGCGATTGACGCGCAATATTGCGAAAGATTTTAAAAAATTGCGAATAGTTGTGAAATTTATTAAGAAAATTCAAACTTTCATTAGGTAGCCATGTTCAGCACATCATTCCGGTCATAATGGTAGTTAAATCATCAAAATCGGCCCAATATTTGCTGAGATAGCTTAATCACAATATTTGCGCAATATTTCAAATATTGCACAATATTGTGCAATATTCAAAATATTGCGCAAATATTGCGATTAAGCTATCTCAGCAAATATTGGGCCGATTTTGATGATTTAACTACTATTATGACCGAAATGATGTGCTGAACATGGCTACCTATTGAAAGTTTGTGAATTTTCTTAATAAATTTCGCAACTATTTGCAATTTTTTAAAAGCTTTCGCAATATTGCACGTCAATCGCAATTCTTGCGCAATATTGTGGTTTTAAAATTTTGCTGATAAAAGACTATTTAAAAGAAAAATATTTTAATGTTTTTCAAGAATTAAAAATGGTTTTTGGTTTTTTTGAAGCCCATATTTGCTTGTATTTTTATATACAAAATAGTGGATTAAAATATTATAATTTTCAAAATAAATATGATTTATAGACTTGGAATTGGTAACAAAAACAATATGTTGAAGACACAAATAAATGTTTAGAAATAATAAACACAGTAGTTAAAGAGTTTGGTTTTAAATACGTTTGGTTATGAAATGATTTAAAACAATACAATGAAGAGTTTTTAGCATATTAATAATTTGTATACACATAGCTCTCAATATAACAGATATTGCTTAATACAGAGAATTATAATGGAACCAAATTATGATTTATTATAATATCTGATATATTATAAGATTTTAATATTACGGATCTTTTGATATAATGGAGCAAAGGACTGGAACCATGGCCTCTGCTATATCGAGAGCCATATGTAATAGTTTTATTTTATATTGTTCTATTTTTGTATATTCTATTTTTAGTTGTATATATTTATTTTTATATTTATATTTTTAGCTTTATTTAATAAAAATCTATTTTTAGTTTTAAATTTTGGTTACAACTTTTTTAAAACATTTGTCAAATTTATGCTTCTCTTTAATGAGTAACTTTAGTTCTTGTAATGATTCTTTATAAAGCTTTATTCTGTTTTTCAATTTGATATTTTTATCAATCAAATTTATTATTGAGTCTGATATGTTTGCTAGCTTAAATCTAATGCACTCAATCTTTTTTCGAATGCAATTATTATATTTTGTTGAATTTTTGTATTTTATATAGTCTTTTCCATTTGTGACAAAGAATACATACCATATAATTTGTATAAATTGGTTTTATTTTTTGTAATTATTTATGAAAAATAAAGTATATTTCAAAATTTTGTATTTATATTAATAATGATTTTTAATATTATATTTATTTAAAATATTTGAACAATTTGATTTGTACAATTTAATTTGCTTTTAAATATAATTTATAAAGAGATATATACTTGTGAAAAAAATTTTTTTGTTAATTAAATAAAATAATTTTGAAATTTTACTACTTGGATATAGTTTAAGCAATTAAAATAATAAAAAAATCAATAACAAGAAAACTGAATTCTAATAACTTATCAGGATATTTAGGGTTATTTTATTGTAATTCAAGTAAAAGATAGATTATAAAAGTTATACGAAGATTTTTTAAAGAAGGTAAAGATAATGTAAAGGTTAAAAACAAAGCAATTAGTTTTTTAAACAAGCTAAACACTGCTAACTTTTGACCCTGGACTGGCAATAGCAGCAATGCCAGGTTTAGTGAAAAAAAAAATATATGTACTGGGGGTGGATAGTGTGTGTGTATGTAGTTACTTAATTCTCTCTCCAAACCAATATTTAATTTATTTCTTTTCTTCTATTTTGTTATTTACAACAGATTATTAATTCACTTATTTAAGTAGTTTATTAAAATTATAATATACCTTTCTGTTCTGATTCATAACTTTAACTTTATTTTAAACTTTGTTAAAATTTCAATATATAAAACAATTAAACCAATCTACTACAAAACAATAAACAAATAACTCTTTTTTTCTTATACCTATACTTAATATTACTTTTTCTTTATTATTATTTTTAATTCTACATTCTAACTACTTCCTACAATATCTTTATTACTAATAATTTCACCAAAATTTTCTACCTGATGCAACATTCTTATTCTCTTTAACCTTTATAAATATTTTGCTTTCTGATTAAGAAAATATTTTAAAACATGACCAACTTGTTCATTTTTACTATCATGTTCTAACTTCTGATTGTATATACAATCATTTATTTCTTCTAATCTTCTCTTTACAACCTTCTTTTGATTTTGCAAACTATATTATTTATAATTAATTAATTACTTTAAAAACATAATTTTATTACTAACTTATATATATTAATACAGATATATACTATTGTATTCTTGTAAACTCAACTTCAAAAAACTCATATAGATAAATATCTCTAGCTCTCTCTTTTTAAATTTTACTTTTAGTATCCACAACTTTACTCTGTAACAAAAGCACTTCTTCTTCATAGATTAAATCTACAATCTTATCTTGAAGCAAATTGTCTACTTCTTTTGGTAGCAAACTTTATTTAAAACTCCTTTTCAAATGCTGTCTAAAATAATTTCATCAACTTATTTTTTACTTCAATCCAAACAAAATTTAAAAATTTTAAACTTAATACAAATATATATTGTACAATACAAAATTTTTTAATAAACCAACATGTAGCCAAATCAAGTAACCTAATTTGTAAATAATACCCAAATCAAATCTTCAAAGAACATACAAAATCAATTTTTATAATCCTACAGGTTGTAGTATAGTAGTTATAACATATAACACTGCAGGGCTATATGTTCAAATTTTACCAGTAGTATATTAGATCTGGTGCACTATAATAGCATTACTATAAATATTCATATTTTGCTATTTTTAAAAATTTTTATAATTCTTTTAATTACTATTACAAATTCTTTCTTTTATATTTCTTATATTATAGCAAATATTTAATACTGCAAATCTATATACTATATCATTTACAATACTATTATTTTATTCTATTTTTTCATTTTATTTTTATAACTTAATCTTTCAATCTCTATTATATTCCTTCTTTATATATTTTTCTATTTTTTTTTTTTTCTTTACTTTTTTATCACTCTTTGCAAATTAGTGTAATAATTGAAAATTGTAAATTTTTTGTGAATCTCGGCAGTTAATGATTACTATATTGTATGTATTGCCCCTGCCTATATTTAACAATTACATATACATATCGATATGTATTAACAATTATCGTTATATGCATATATTAACAATTGATACAACTGGTATTGGAATAGTAATATCAAATGAATTTAAATATGACTTGATATTATCATTATAAACTTTAATATAACCTTCTTCTAATATGACATTAGTAAAACCTTGTAAATATGAAATTGGCAGCTGTTATGGTTGCCAAAAGTATCTGTTTTGCTTTGTAGATTTAGCACAACAAGACTGTTCTTGTGATTTAAGTATAAAATCTTCCCATTATAATAATCAAGCCAAACATAGACAACAAATTCATAATTAATGCTATGGTATTTACACAACATTTTTACCTCAAATTAGCTGGCTAAAAAATTGTAGCAAATATTTTGGATACTTAAGCAACTTTAATAAAGATTTCGATATAACCTTTTGTTCTGTATGTAATTCGAAATAATCATGCCAAATCTTCAACAACTAAACAAAATTTAGACCATGATAGTGAAGCAGAGATGAATACTGAAGATACGATTGCTAATGAACCTATAGTGGATGGATTGAAGGTAAAAGTTATTATCAATACAAATAAATCAAAATCACTTACAGGAAAATGGTTAGAATTTACTGCTATGGAAGTTGAAAGTTTTTATCTATTTCAATTAATTTAAATAGTCATATACAAAAGTATTTAAATAGTCAAGCTATTAATGAAAATGATTATGAGGTAGTTTATAAAGTAAATGGTCGGGGTCAAGCAATGTGCATAAATGATGACAAGGACTTTGAAAACTTTATAATTGAAAGCAAGGATCTTAATTCAACCAAAACAATGCATCTTTATATTAACGTGAAGAAATCTAATACTAACAAACAAAAATTAATAGTAATAATTATCTGTTTATTTATTTTATAGAATAACTAAAGCTATGTGCAATTAATAGATAATATATATTACATTTTGATATAGGATGATACTGCTACTACAACTGAGAGTAAAGAAGATAATTTTAACCAAAAATTTTCTAAAAAACAAAAAAAAAATTATAGACCCAAGGAATCAGATTTGAATGAGAAGGAATACAAACAAGCCCAGGTCATTACAAAGCTTCGAAATAAATATAAATGTTTTTATTATATTATACCATGTTACATTGATAATGAGTGCCATTTTTAATTGAACCCTGCTTGGTTGACATTATGGGCATGTAATATAGTATGTATATATATAGTTGTGCTTGAAGTTAGCATCTGCTTGAAGCTGTAACTTCAAGCACCTGAAGTTAAACCTACCTAAAATTAATTTCAGAGCTAATTTCAATCTGTGCAACTTTAAGTATTTGAGGTTGCAACTTCAAGCAGATGCCGATTTCATTACTACTATCTAATACTAATGCTAATTTATCTTTTAGATTCTAAATTTGACAATAATTGATATACCACTATCATACCCTATATTTGGAATGTTACATGCTACCAAGCTAAAATCCCCTAAACAAAATACTGTTCAACAAACATTTACGTTATCAGACTTTAATTTTAATATGATACTGATATATTATCAATTTTCTTAAACTGTTTCCAATATTTCTCTAAAAGAATTTTTTGCTAATTTAGATCAGATTCATAATAGTAATGGAAAGTACATTGCTTTAAAAAAATCGTTTGAACATGAAGAAATTGCAGTTGATGCTATTAAGGATTTGCCTAATAACTATTTAGATAAATTAGGTGTACATAAAATAGGATGAAAAATAAATATAAAAAGAGCAGCTCAAAAATATTAATATATAGATTTTTTTTAGAATAATTATATTCTTTTTTTGATATTAATTATAACTTTACAATTGTACCAGCTACTAATTTGGTTAAAAGATAATTAGGGTTAAATTTGGATAATTATATTATTACTGGACCAGATAGTACTTGTATGAATATAGTGGATATTTTGCTATGAGTGATGTAAGAAATATAGTCAGGCAGTCACAAGTGCAGGTTACAGGTGTATAGCTATGTTGGAATGTAAACATTGATTGAGTGAATATTTTCTAGAATAATAGATTTTTCATTTTATATTTTAGCAATTTTCACATTTATAAGTTTAATATTACTTAAACAGTCCATTAAGCCATTAAATAAAGTTTTTATACAACATACGAAGAAAATTCTGTTATATATATCCATAATTTAAATTAATATTTTATTAGAATAATATAGTATCATATAGTTATTTACATAGCATTATGAGACTTATTTATGTAAATTTCAATTCTTCAACTTATGTCTGATATTTTGTATCCTTTTTTTTGGATCAAATTTTCTTATTTTGTAACAGTATTATATATAAGCAGAGCTTAATATAAAATTTAAAAAAAAGGTTAAACAATTTGTTCAACAAAACATGAAAATGAATAGTTCTTATAAATACCTTAGCAATCATTGATCCAGCATCATAGAAAGCTGGTACAATTATAGAATTGCCTTGTTTAACAAATTGTTCAAAGGCTTCTACATATTTTTCAGCAATGTTAAGAGCAACTACTTCAGGACCATGATTTTCTTATATTGCCAAAGCAATTTGCCGAATATCTTCAATAGTGAAGAAGAATAACCTCGGTTCTACTTAAAAGAAAATAGTAAGTTACCAAACATTAAATAAAGCTGAAATTTACTAAGATAATTGTATTTACCAAATGCTTTGTTTACAGTAAATATGTTTCATATTCTATAAATTTTAATTACAATAACCAAATATAATAACAGACATTCAGGTTTTAAAATAAAAGCTCTTTTGAACCATTTAGCAGATATCTAAGAATGTATAAACTGCACAACCTTATAGGTAGTTAATGTCACCTTGTTAGAAGAAATATATATTTAAATTAATTTAATATAAATATATATATATGCTTCTAGCACCACATAAATACTAAGAATTTAACTTACATATTTCATATTTTAAGCATTCGATACTACAACTTTTTGCAGCGCTATTAATTAAAACTATATTTGCATCTAAGTGAGAATGCTATGCCAATGTTCTGTCCAAAGTCATTTGACCAATTTCAGCCTGTTTGGGCAATTGTCAACTATATATTTAGTGTTTTCAATACCAATAAGATGCCTATAAAATTTACATGAAAATAAAAATAAATTTCGAAAGTCTGATAATATAAATTTATTAACTCAACTAAGCTAAAAATTAATAATTGGCTTAATATATAGACTATATGAAATCAATTGCTCGCAATATAAGTTATAAGTATATATATATATGTTATAGATTTTTCTATTACCATTATTGTAAAGTTGTTTGATTGCCTAATCTTGTGACTATTTCTATGTACATAGCCAAGAATCGACAAAGTCAAATTTTTTAAAAATCAACATATTCAACTAGTACAAAATCAACTACAATTATTATATATTCTATTGTTTTATAATAAACTGATATAAACAAATACTAACCAGTTAAAATAGAACAAATTCTGAAAATCATTTTTTGGTACAACTACTTTCTATTATGTCTAGAGCAACTATCCCATCTATTGATAATGCTAGTATAATTGTATAGTGCTTACCTTGTACGAAAACACATTTTTTGCGTGCTCTTTTATTGACCATTGCATATTCATAGTATCGCGTAAGACTTTGTTCATCCTTTGCACTTTCATCTATAAAGATTAACTGTTCTGGATGGTAATTAATTCTGATTTTAGCAATAAATGCACTGCGTACAATTTCATTTCTTTCATGCGCTGCTTTTTGTATCTTAAATAATATTAGTTAAGATAAAGTATAAACAAATAATACAAATAATAAATTTTAAAATAGTTACTTTTTTATAAGTAATTCCCAAGTAATTAAAAGAATGGCATAAGGTTAAAACTGAAACACATTTACTAGTTAAATTTTCTATTTCAACTACGAGTTTGTCTAAATACCAGTCAACTTTTTCCTTAACTAAATTTTTAAGTACAACCAATTCTTCCAAAGAAAATACTTTGCATCTGCCTGGTAGAATATTAAAAGGACTAGTTACATTCCCCTATTTATTAAAGGTTTCAAGAATTTTTCTAACAGATGTTCTACCAATATGAAGCATATTAGCAATTTTATATTCATTGTTGCTCTTTGCATCAAGATATACAACTCGCCAATGTAAATCTTCACTTAGTTTATAACTCATAGCTTAAAAACATAATATTTTTAGATTTTAAGTTATATTTATAACATTTGAAAAATGAATTTAAAATATATTACTAACAGACTCACAGCTCGTATTAGTTAAGAACTAGTGATTTGTTTAATATAACACTCTTTGAAACATATAACTTCACTTTCTAGTTGGCATACTGCTTTTCAAGATGACTGAGGTATGCAATCTAAATTTTAAAATCTGGTTTATTACAATAAATATATTACATAATAAAAATTTTTTTTTACTATTATTTTTGAAAGAATTTTTTTACTATTCGATTCATCTCAATAAGATGAACTGAATAGTGAAAGTTATTTTAAAGAAACACAAAATTCACCTTAACCACCTCAACTCACTCTAATAACCTCTGCAAATCACTTTAATCTCTGGAATCACTTTAGTATTCATGTGCAGTAAAAGGACTTCGTACTAAGAAAAAGCCTGTCAAAAGATAAATTTGCAAACAATAGAAAGACAAAAAGACTTTAGTAATACATGTTTCACAAAATATTGTCAATCTGACATAATTTTCATGAGATTTGGTATGATCAACAGGATTCAATTGTCACACTAATTTGCAAAGAGCGATAATCAAGTCTGACCTATTTCTATTATTAAACCTGTCAAAAAAATCTTTATAAAAATCTTCACCAATTGCTTAAACAAAATAATTGCATCAAATAACCTTCTCTCTAACCTAAACTTTGTAGCTTCCAAAAACTCTTCAATACATACCCCAATTCAAATTCTACACAATACAATTGAACACTATATTTCTTATAATAAGGAAGCATGAATATTGTTTCAGAACATGTCCAAAGCCTTTGATAGAATTAATATCAAATATTTGCAAGATGCTTGCTACAGAATCAGCATTTCTGCTTCCAGAATTAACTTAATAACTGAACTACATACCTCTCGACTAGCTAAAATAATTATAGCCTATAGTTTAATATTACTAGTTTAAATTAAATCTGGCATTAAACAAGAAGAAACTTACTCTTCTTTGTTATAAAAAATTTACTATGATTCTATCTTTATTTATATAT